GGACAAAACCGATGCAATCTCTTTCCCTTTACATGATAAAATAGCTGAACTATCCTCCTTTCAGGTACAGGTTTTCTTTTGTTTTTGTTTTTTTCTCTACCTTTTTTAACCTTTCCTCCATGCTGGTATACTTTCATTTGTGCTCCTCGGTSCTGTGATGCTTTCACCAGAAAAAGAATAGAGGTTTGCTGCTCAGTTTTAGCTGCCACGGCTGCCACTCCGGCCTTGCAAGCTGGTGACATGGGAAATGCAGGCAGACAGCAAAGTGACAGCAGGCTGAGTGATGAAGGGAGTAACGTGATGTGCATAAAAACAATCTGACGAGAAAATCTTGAGATGTACAGACCAACACGAAGAGAAAGTAAAGATAGTCAGAGAAATGAGCAAACAGGGAGCCCTCACTTCAGCCCCACATTTTCCTTGGCCAACAGCCAGCTCCTCCATCAATAGCACTCAGGAAAATGGAGAGGAAGGAAAGGATTGGAGGGGAGATGTATAGCAGAAGGAGATGGTGAGGTAGAAACATGGCTACAAAGACGAGCTACAGCCAGATGGAGAGCAAAAGAGGGAAAGTTGGAAGCAGGACAGAAGGAGAGGAAGGGAGGGTGGCGATGGAGGAAAACATAGGAGGGACAGTTTGGATGATGGTAACAATAGTTAAGAGAAATGAAGCAGAGGATGGGAGGGACAAAACAGCTAACAAAGAAACGGTGAGGAAAAAGACCAACAGATAAAAGAAGCAGGAAGGAGGGAAGGGATTCTGAGAAGGGAATACATAACATAATCAAGGAGCCTGAGCAGCAGGAGGGAGAAGAGAGACAGGAGCTGGCAGAGAAGGCAGTAAGCAGAGTCCTATTGATGTGTAATGAAACCCCGCATCAGGGGAGAGGAAAAAAACAGAAGGACAAATGAATGGAGGGAAATGGGGACTAGAAAAGGAGAGGAGCAGCGTGACTGGGAAAAACGCTCGCGTGAATGAATGAGCAGAAGATGGGAAGCAGGAGGGCATAATGTCATTTGTTAAATAATGCAGGGAAGGAGCACAAGAGGCAGGAAGCGCAGTGGAGGTGGACGTCTGCCAAGCATAAGGTGGAGGGTGGCAAGATGGCGCAATGGCTGGTTTGGATCAGAGAGAGAGAGGACTGGGTGGGAGCTGAGAATCAGGCATTTATATTACAAATTAGGGTTGGGCAAAATTGCATAATGTGCAATTAATGATCAGAAAAACTGTCACCAATTAATATTTAAGCACTTAGCGATTACTGCGATTAGTGACTTATGCAAGTCGTTGCGTCGCACAACTAATGCTAACGTGTTTAAGCACGAGTACGAGGAAAGCCTGAAAATGTGGAGCAAGGAAACAATGTTGGCTACAACAAACTCCTCAAGCAAATGACGGAAACAAATCTACACAGGCGAGAATCCACCACACTCAGTCGATCTGTCCCACAAGACGCAGAGTAAGTGCTGAAAGGAGATGATGTGATAAAAATGATGACGTTAGTTTGACTGATGATTTGTAAGTATAGTTTTCTAACACATGGTAACAGACTTCAACAACATGCAATTGTCATCTATTAACCATTACCGGAWAAATGCCACGATAAACTGTAATAAATTTTTTTGCCAATATCTCCCAACCCTTTTACAAACAAATAACGGAGGAGTGGTCTAGGACAGATGCAACAAATGTACCATTCTAGGCCAATGTTTTTTCTAATATATGTAAAACTCCGACATGCTAATTTTGATTTATCTCCATAGGCTATAATTGCCAGTATACCATTTTATTTTTCACCCATTTCAGATTAAATGTTTTATTTTTTTCCTTTGGAATTTAAAAAATAGCTCTACATTTCTGAACAGACTCTGTATAATTTATTTTGGATAAATCAGAATACAGCTCCTAAATCATTTGTTTTACATAAATAAATGCAGCCACTAAGGAGACATAATGCTACTTCAACAGACTATGTATCATACTCACTCTGTTTAGTTTTGACAGGACAAAAAGCACTTTGGGATTACAGAGATTGTAACTTGGTACCCAGCAAGCTAAAAGTGCCAAGAATCGGTATCTCATCATGTTGAACATTGGAGAGATTGAACGTAATAATTTACATGCATCAGTGTGAAGAAATGTAAAAAAAGGAAGTGTTTGATTTGACCTGGTTTGTGCAGTTCATCGTAAAAACAAGGAGAGAAGGAAAAAAATTGTCTGTGTCTGTCTTTATTTAAGACACTTATCTTTAATCCAGCTCTCTGATATCTTATGACAATTAATAATCAAGAACAGACTTTCCAATAATAGTTGTTTGTTTTGTAATAATGGCTGTGCAGGGCAAAGAAAAACTGTGGCGCATGTCTGACTTCCACGCGAGGCAAGACTCTCTAACCCACACTCCTCTAAAACAGCAGGGATGTCCCATTCAGGATGTGGAGCTTGCTGAGCATGATCCTCCAAAATGGCTGACAGTTTCACCACAATGTCTGCGCTGGATGAGAAACTGCGGCACTCACGCAGGCTCCAAAGCCTCGCTAACCCACGGCGCTCTAAAACAGCAGGGCCCATTTATTCAGCCGGGCACCCTTTTGTGTCGAGGTGGGCTGCTGTCGTTACCCCCAGCACGACGGGGCCGCCGATGCTTTTTAATGAGTCATTTTTATTCAGGCGATAAGGTCAGCTACCCGCGGCGGCTTAAAAGGCCCCGACGAGCACTGGAGTGGCAACTATGAGATGCCAGACAGACGCGGAGAGATGCAGCCGCCACAAGGGAGGGAGGGGCAGTCGGCCCAGGCTAAAATGTGAATAAATAAAAAAGGTGTGAAACATAAGAGGACAAAAAGATGCGTATAAAACATCAAATGTTAAAAAAAAATTTAAAAGAGGAAAAGTCTCCTCTTTTCYGTTTCCTGACTGTCGTTCCCGATGACTGAAAAGCTGGGTGTGATTTTTAGAGGCTTCTTTTTCCTCTTGGTTTATTTCTTTCAGCATCTGATTTGTGTTAATGTCAGCTGAAAATAGCTTTTTACACACGTGTGGTTTCAGATCTGCCGTCGGCCAGTTGAGGATCTTTTCATGCAGGAGAACCAGTGTCAAACAAAGACATGCTGGCTGGCTTCTTGCAAACTTTTCTAGTATAGTTTAAGGTTTACTCAGCATAACACACAAAAGCTGTTAAAGTAGCAAGTTTCCACTTGGAACTAGATTTCCCGACATTATAAATATTAACTCTTATCGAAGTTCCTTCAAGCACATGGTTCGCAATGGCTCTCCCCTCAGGGCGGATGTAAATGTCCAAGCTGGAAAAGATTAACAGCACATGTCTTCCTGTTTGTGCCACTGCACAACCTCAAAGTTCTCCGATTTGACGAGTAAACTACATTTTGAAAACAAGTGGGAAACACTTTCAGCTCAATGGCTCCTTTGAGGGTGTTACGCYGAGCAAGTGAAGACTAGAACTCCCTGCTCACTGACCCACAACAAAAGGCAAACAAACTTCTTTGATCGTCCGTTCCAAGAACAAAACTCTGACATTTACYCCATAAAATCCTCACACAGAGATTTGCTGTTTTGATCATTTTTGTTTGAATAAAGACCAAGTCTCAAGTTTTGGTTGAGCCAAAACATATGGCTATATGACTGAAATTCACAATCCAAGTGAAAAAAAAAGTCAGAGACTTAAAGCTTTAAAGAAAATGATCTCACATGTATTATAATCAAGACAGCAAGGACTAAAAATCACCAGCTACAAAACAAACAAACAAAACAAAACAAAAAAAAAACGGCTGAAGCCTGGGAAAAATCAACTTGTTAGCTTTGTCTGTYCTTCATTTATAACACTGTCATAAATTAAAATATTTGTAGAACAGATATTGCAGAAAAATGGGTTGAAAAAGACGTGGAATATTTATCCTTCAACACAATATTGCCCAGACTATTTGTAGCTACAACCACAAGTATCACAAAGAGCAAATGCTTGAATGTTTCTAGAATCCCCCATTAGTTAGAATAAAATTATTATTTATACTTCGTATATGTATAACAGTTGTATACTCAGTCTTAAGGGCTCGACACACGGGAAGCGACAAACTACAGCGATTAGCGGCTGTCATCGCAGCCAGGGTGAAAACCCGACACACGGGACGCGATAGCGATCRCAGCGTTGCGAATYGCGCTCTCAGATCGCTTGTCTTCACAAAATTTGATTGGTTCTTGACTCTGAAGGGGGGTGTGCATTACAGACGTGTAAACTAAACAAATCTTGCGATGTTAATGATATTGAAAAACAAACATACATCAAGATACAGTTTTATGAG